ACCCACTAATTTTATTTCCAGAAATGTTCGTTCTGCCACTTGTCAATTTTGCTCTTGTTTGTTTATTTGCAACCCTATTTTTAATCTATAAAAATTCATTCTTTCTTTTAGTGATTACCTTCTAATGCTGTCTAATGGAAACCCATTTTATCTATACATTATCCTTGACATCTCATTGGGAGTTATCAGTTAGAATTAAAGTTCTCTTCAGTTTCCCCCCATGACTAGTGTTAATAGAGGTCATTTTCTCTGACTGTTTAGAAGAGAACCACTCTTCTGTCTGGTGGCAGAGTCTCTTCTTTCATCTAGTTATTTTCCACTGTCCACTCACTTATGAGTGAAGGGTTAAAATAATCGGCACCAGAGGCCAACATGGGTTTCCTTAAAAATCTTGTTGGATTGTGTTGAACATCCCTTGGTAGTCCTCTTCTCTTCCTGCTTGTCGAGGGCAGGTAGATGTAAAGATCCTGGATAAGCTGAGTTGGCTGGGCTGGGTCAAAAATTTTTCTTTTTTTTTCCAGATGTGTAAGCTTAGAAGCAGACCCGAGGAACAGTCTCAGAACTGCCCCTTCAGTGAGTTCTTAGGGGCCAAATTCCTGCTCAACTTCACTTGCCCCAAATGAAGTTCAGGTTGAATGATATGCCAACCAGTCTGTATGTGGGCCACAGTGGGAAACAGGAGGGGCTACATGACTAAGCATGAGTGGGGTTTTATAGAAATATTGAGCTGTCCCCGCCACACACCCCCACCCCCGCCCATGTGGTTTTGTGGTGGAAAGTTTTACTGAGCAGAATTTTTTACCTCACTCTACTTCAGAAGCCTGCCACAGAGAATTGTCCATTTTATTTATTTGAGCTGCTCTCACCAAGCCAAGTATGGAAATAAACACCAGAATTGACCACTCTGTACAACATTATATTTGTTTCTATTCATTATTGTGGTATAATGGTTCATGACAATATCAATTAACATGACATCACAGTACTACCAATTTACTCAGGGAGGGGAGAAGGCATCTAACCTAAAGGTAGCCAATCCTATAAGGAAACCTGGAACCAAAAGGTTTTGTCCAAACAGGGATAAGCTGGTCCAATTAGATTCTCACTGTGAATAGTTCAAATGAGGAGTATGGTGAGAATCAGACAGTGGCAGGAAGAACAGAAGATAAAAGGGTATATAGAGGGATCTTGAGGTAGTTTAGAAACTACCATCAAGTTAAAGTTATGAAGAAGCAGAAAACATCTCATTTAAATCAAAGATATATTTGATTTACACAGTCACAGTCTTTACACAGATTTACATTAGTCACAGTCAAGGGTGACTAATTCAGTTGATAGTATAAGAAGCAAGAAGACACAGAGAAAAGAGAGATTGAGATAGCAATGGGGTCACATTAAAGGCATGTTTTACAGTAAGTATTACCAACCTATTGCTCTCTGAGATCCAGTTCTGGTCTCTGTGAGATCACTCAGAACAGTGGAGTGCACATGGACTGATGTTCAACAGTTACATCCTCTGACTTTTGAGGGAAGATGATTGGGTTCTTACTCATCAGACCATGTGCATTTCAGAAGTTGAGAAAATAGAAAAGTGTCAGATATTCTATGGGAAAAAAATTTCTCAACTTTCATTTTTTCCTTCTACTTGATACACTTAAAATTACAGTGAGAGAGACAGCATTTTGTTCTGAAATAGTCTGAGCATCACTGGCAGTGTAGTTGAAGTCTTCCTGGTAATTAAGAAAGACACAAACATATCCCTTACAAAATGCAAGCAGGCAAATCTTTCAGATATGAATCAAATGAAATTCAAATACTTGAGGGGCTTCTCTCTTAACATTTGAGCAGAAACAGTTTTCAATATTGTTTGATAAAAATTTCAGCTTGATTGTTAGAGGGGAGGGCTTCCAAAGTGGCGCAGTGGTAAAGAATCCACCTGCCAATGCAGGAAACACAAGAGACATGGGTTTGATCCCTCGGTTGGGAGGATCTCCTGGAGAAGGAAATGGCAACTCACTCCAGTATTCTTGCCTGGAAAATTCCATGGACAGAGAAGCCTGGCGGGCTATAGTCCATGGGGTTACAAAGAGTCAGACACAACTGAGTAAGGTCTGAGGAAAAAGCAATAAGGTGATGGCTGCAATAGCCTATAGAACCTAAAAAGACTAAAAGACCCTGACCAGATGGAATGTAATTAAGGAGACACTGCAGAATGGAAACTGCTCTGAAAAAGTGGAGAAGGCTATGGTGAAAGACTCATAAAACAGCAATATTATAATAGATGCTAAGGAGCTATAAGAAAAAAGAGTCCTAAAATACAGGGACTCAAATAACAGACATTTATTTCCCTGTCAAGAAACAGTCTTGAGGTGAGTAGTCCAGGTTGGTGGGAGAGGAACATTGTTTCTTCCATCCTATTGCCTCTTCAATCCCTAGGGTGTTATCTTCATTAATCCTTTGAAATTGGATCCAGATAGGAGAAAGTAAAGAGATGGAGGGCAGGCAATTTCCTTTTAAGCAAATAATATAGAAAGCTGCCTACATTTTGTCCACTCATACTCTTCCACATCCATTGGTGAGAACTAATCACTTAATCATAATGGCTGCAAAGTAGGCTGGGAAGTAGGGCTCTAAGCTGAATGTCCACATTTCAGATAAAATTCCATGGTTAAGGAGTCAAGTGGGCCTTAGGAAGCATCACTACGAACAAAGCTAGAGGATGTGATGGAATCCCAGTTGAGCTATTTCACATCCTGAAAGATGATGCTGTGAAAGTGTTGCACTCAATGTATCAGCAAATTTGGAAAACTCAGCAGTGGCCACAGGAAAAGGTCAGCTTTCATTCCAATCCCTAAAAAAGGCAATGCCAAAGAATGCTCAAACTACTACACAATTGCACTCATCTCACATGCTAGTAAAGTAATGCTCAAAATTCTCCAAGCCAGGCTTCAACAATACGTGAACCGAGAACTTGCAGATGTTCAAGCTGGTTTTAGAAAAGGCAGAAGAACCAGAAATCAAATTGCCAACATCCGTTGGATCATTGAAAAAACAAGAGAGTTCCAAAAACCATCTATTTCTGCTTTATTGACTATGCCAAAGCCTTTGACTGTGTGGGTCATCACACACTATGGAAAATTCTTCAAAAGATGGGAATACCAGACCACGTGACCTGCCTTTTGAGAAATCTGTATGCAGATCAGGAAGCAACAGTTAGAACTGGACATGGAACAACAGACTGGTTCCAAACAGGAAAAGGAGTACATCAAGGTTGTATATCGTCACCCTACTTATTTAACTTATATGCAGAGTACATCATGAGAAACGCTGGCCTGGATGAAGCACAAGCTGGAATCAAGATTGCCGGGAGAAATATCAATAACCTCAGATATGCAGATGACACCACCCTTATGGCAGAAAATGAAGAAGAACTAAAGAGCCTCTTGATGAAAGTGAAAGAGGAGAGTGAAGAAGTTGGCTTAAAGTTCAATATTCACATAACAAAGATCATGGCATCCAGCCCCATCAATTCATGGCAAATAGATGGAGAAACAGTGGAAACAATGGCTGGGCATTATTTTGGGGGGCTGGCTCCAAAATTACTGCAGATGGTGATTGCAGCCATGAAATTAAAAGATGCTTACTCCTTGGAAGAAAAGTCATGACCAACCTAGACAGAATATTAAAAAGCAGAGACATTACATTACCAACAAAGTTCCATCTAGTCAAAGTTATGGTTTTTCCAGTAGTCATGTATGGATGTGAGAGTTGGACTATAAAGAAAGCTGAGTGCTGAAGAATTGATGCTTTTGAACTGTGGTGTTGGAGAAGACTCTTGAGAGGCCCTTGAACTGCAAGGAGATCCAACCAGTCCATCCTAAAGGAAGTTAGTCCTGAATATTCATTAGAATGACTGATGTTGAAGCTGAAACTCCAATACTTTGGCCACCTGATGTGAAGAGCTGACTTATTTGAAAAGACCCTGATGCTGCGAAAGATTGAGGGCAGGAGGAGAAGGGGATGACAGAGGATGAGATGATTGGATGGCATCACTGACTCAATGGACATGAGTTTGAGTAAGCTCCGGGAATTGGTGATGGACAGGGAGGTCTGGCATGCTGCAGTCCATGGGGTTGCAAAGAGTCAGAAATGACTGAGCAACTGAACTGAAGGAAGAAGCAAAGAAGGCTTTCTGGTAACCACTAGCAGCAAGCCACACCAAGATAATCCATACTAGGGATTAAAACTCTTGAAAAGTTTGGAAACCCAGGTCAATAATGTCTTTCTCTAAGAGCCCAAAGCCATCTTTGTGGGTTACGAGCCAAAATGCAAGTCTGTGGAGTCTGGTACAACAATGCAAACGGAGCCTTTTAGTTACCACTGTAAAACTTCAACTGTTGTTGAAATCATGTTTTCTTCCCTTCATCCTCAAGGGTTATGTGTGAAAGTCCAGAACATTTTCTTTGCTTTTCTAAAAGGCACAATCTAGATCCTCTCTTTTAAGGCCCTGAAAGATTAGGTCTGCTCAGAGAAATCCTCAAATCTCAACCTTCTGTTTTCTCCAGAGCCTTCATCAAGTGCTCCATTGTTTCTCCTCACAGAGGAACACAGGCAAACCCCCTCCAAAGGGGCTGAGGACTCTCAGTTCTCTCCTTCTGCCATAACTTCTTGGGTAGCTCAAAAAGCTTAAATAAATATTGGAATTTATTGGCTTATGTAACGTGAAAGTTCAAGGGACAGACTACAGGTACACTTTGATCCAGGAGTTCAAATTATGTCATCAGGATATTATCTCATTCTCTCTCTGTCTCTCAGTGCTACTTTTGTGAGTGTTGGCTTACTCCTCTGGCAAGTTCTGACTCTTGTCTGCCTCCAACATTCCAGGCTTTCAGTTTCATAGCTCTTATTGTAGCAGGAAAAGAGGATATACCCCTTTCTGCTCAGCTGAAGTAAAAGTATCCGAGATTGTACATCAGTGGCTCTGATAGGGTCACTGGCTCATGTTTGAATCAATCAATGTGACTGTGGAATTGGATGCTTTGAATGCTCAGCACTACATCATAGGAAAAGGTTCATCATATCATCTTTGCTCAGTTGTGTCCAACTCTGCAACCCAATGGTCTGTAGCCCGCCAGGCTCCTCTGTCCATGGAATTTTCCAGGCAAGAATACTGCAGAGGGTTACCATCTCCTATTCCAGGGGATCTTACCAACCCAGGGATTGACCTCACATCTCTCGCATCTCCTACATTGGCAGGCAGGTTCTTTACCACTGTGCCGGAAAAGGTTAAGTCCACACAAAATGGTAGAAAGGAATCTCAGAGGGCTGTTAGCAGAAGGGAGCATGGATGCTGGGTAACAAAACCACAACAGATGTCCTCTGCCTATCCCCTTGCCTATGAAATTGACAAATCCAAACTGGTCTTATAATAGGATAACACTTAAATACTTGCCTTTGAATAAGGTATTCTCTAAAGGCCTTTAAACTACCTAGTTCCCTGAGTCTTCCTCCTGTAGTCATACTGTAAATTTGTCATTAACATGTCCTCATGTCCTTTCACCTTCAGGGCAGACATATGCCTTCTTACAAGGACCTACTGATTACAACTGACATCACAATAATTGCCATTTTGCAGCTGTAATTTCTTACAGTGTTCATCTTACAGCCTACTTCCATTTTCTGTAACTTCATGTTTATTCCTAATGAAATGAATTACTTAAAAAAACCTCGTGTCCCACTTGAGTATGTGGGACACCAAAACTAAAGCATCTGTAGCAAGAGTAATTTGTAGAGGATTTTAAGAAAGAGAACCTCTTTTATTTCTTACGTAGAGTAATAGATCTCCCTAAGATGCAGTGGAGGCTGATGCTATTGACAATTGGTTCTATACCCTGCCATAGTCTCAAGGGCTTGGAATCAATAAGGCATTTGCTACAATAATATCAAAATCTTGTTCACATTAAGGAGGACTGAGCAGGGACTCCAGTTTTACCATTGTTCTCGTGGAGCAAGCTAGATTAGTTGGGACTATAACTGTAGTGCAGGATGAGGTAGCTAAGACTCTAAGACTTTTTCCCCCAGGATTGAAATTCTACATCTACCACTCACTGCCCGTTTGATCTTAGATAAGTTACTTGACTTAACTATTCCTTAGTTTCTTCATTTACAAGGTAGAAACAATAATAGCATTGACCTCACAGAGTTGATGTGATGCTTTTATGAGTTAATAGGTATAAAATATTTAGAAGAGTGTGAGAACTATGAAAGTAAAGATCCATGTAAGTGCACAGTTAAGAACTTTGTTAGCTCTTATTATTTACTTTTAATGAATGTTCATATATAAATATTCAAGTAAACAAAGTGAGGGAAGTATTATTCAGTAGCAAGTTCCTTGAAGAAACAACTAAAGCACAAAACGCACATTTTCTTTTTATGAATCCTGCCTAAGTTACCCACATCTGAGCAAGAAAGTGGGAATGACATATTAATGGAAAAACAGGCTAATAAGCCTAACCTAGTTTCACATTCGAGAGGTGGAATAATTTATGGGAAAGCTCTCTAGGCTTCTAAATGCTGCAGTCAAATCACTGTATGGAGAAAGCTACAAAATCAAATTCCAAACAATGAAAACATCAGTTTCTTAATGGAACAGTTCCAACCATCTGGCATTCATATGTTTGCAGGGAGGTTATTGTGCAGCCATAATGACCCAATCCCACCTCTAGGCAAGAAGCTTTCATGAAGGAAGTTTACCCTGGCCATTTGTGGCTGGTTAATATTACCAGAAGAGGTTTTTTTTTTTTTTCAACTGTTCCACTGTTAATGTTTCAAATTTGAACTTTTTTTTCCAAGAGAACAGAGAAAGAAGGAACTTGAGATATATTTGTAGAGTGCAAAAGAGAGGGTAGGAGATTTCAGCATCTCAGAAATAAGTTTTTCTTGAAGGCAGTTTTTCAAAAAGAAGTGCCTTGTTGCATAGGCTGGATTCAGTCTTGCTGATAATTTATTATCTCTTCTAAACAGATTTAAATTAAATATTAGATCATCTTCTTATCATACTTTAACAACTGATTTTGAATAAAACTCGGAACACAGAAATAATGACATTTCACTTTTCTTTGAATGAACTGCCAATTTTGTTAGCATATTATCTTTCCATTCTACTATGGAACTTGACCTACTGTCGAATGTTCATTCATTCACTTAAAATTGATAATCCAGTACGTATTTACTAAGCCTCTACTAAGTGCTAGATACTGCATGAGGCATACCTGTTTAATAGAGTGTAAAAATATGAGTCTTAAGAGGTGAAAACAGGTATAATAAAAAGGCAGTTTGATATAAAATGTTAACAGTGTGAGAGATTTTTATAAGGATAAAAGGGAGACATGCACAAAAATTTAAAATTCAATGTAAATAAAATCTACATTGGAATGACTAGAAAGAAAAATAAACTATGGATAATAGAGTCAATCATGTAGATTTCACACTTTATAAGCTCTCCTAAGATGGAGGGCAAAAGATTTTTTAAAAAGGCAAAGAGATAAAAATGACAAGAGTAACTGAATAGAGACCAAAGAGCCAGTATATTAAGGCTATTCCTGAAGGAGACATAACAAATAAGAAAAGGCCACAATTAACTATACAGTAGAAGAAAGTTTTCTGAACTTATTGTATAAAGTTATAAAACAACTTATACATTTATTATATAAAGACCTATTTCTGTAAATTTGTAGTTTCTAGGTTATAACAGTTTACTTTTTCTTTTTTTGAAGAGAACAGAAAATATGCAAAGATACACAGAGACTAAATATATGCTACCATAAAGCCTTTTTGAGAAATGTAAAAATTAGTCCAAGCGACTGAGTTGTGTACCAAGTTGAGAGCAGATAAGAATTATTGGGGCTTCCCTAGTGGCTCAGTGGTAAAGAATCCGCCCGCCAATGCAGGAGACATGGGTTCAATCCCTAGTCCTGGAAGATCCCACATGCCTGTGAGCAACTAATCCCCTGTTCCACAATGATTGAGCCGGTCCTCTAGAGCCTGGGACAGAGCTCACAGTTACTGAGCCCATGCACTGGAACTACTGAAGCCCGTGCTCCGCAACAAGAGAAGCCACCACGATGAGAAGCCTGCCCACTGCAACTAGAGAGCAGTCCTCACTTGGCACAACTAGAGAAAAGCCTGTGCAACAGCAAAGACTCAGCACAACCAAAATAGATAAATATATAAAATTAAAAGAAAATTATAATCAAAATTTTTTTATTGAAGAGAAAGAATTTTAAAAAAATTCATTAAGCATTCAGCACCAGAAATTAAGGAGATTTACAAAGTAAACCAAAGGAAGTCAGTAGGGAGAATTTAACTATCAACAAAACAGCTAATGAGATACACAACAGAAAATGAAGAGAAATGATAAATCCACCCTAGATCTGTTTCTTTTTTTGTAAAGAGTCAAAAAGGACCCTAAGCAAAGCAACTCAGTAAAAGACACACATACACACACACGCACACACGCATCATCTATAGTACTAGTATAAACGGTGAAGAATAACAATTCTGTTTCAAGCAACTTGAAAATCGCAACAAGAAGACTATTATATGGCGATCATTTAAAGATAAATAGGACAGTAACTGTGTGGAAGACACCTGTGCAGGTTGGGTTCTGTGTAGATGCTGAGGCTGAGGTAGGAGAACAAAGAAAGTGTTTATTGCGGAGTACCATCTATGAAAGGAAAAGGAAGAAAACCAGGAGAAGGCAGAGGGAGCTACCCACCTCTGATGGAGGCCCAGTGACGTCCTCACTAGCCCAATATGGATTTGGGGAACAAAGATGGTCCATTAGAGAAGTCCCTCACTAGACAAAAATGGCTACACCCTTGTACCACACCACTGCTCACTCACTGGCCAGGGCTGACCAAGAGAAGAGTGTAATCTTGCTCACTCTTTGGCTATTATTTTGCTCACTCATTGGCTAAAGGGATGCCTTAAGAAGAATGTGGCCTCACCTTAAAAGCTACAGAGGACCCTTAAAGTGCTGAAAGCCATAGACCATCCACTAACCACACCCTTTGCAGCTGGTTCATGAGTTTTTTTTTTTCCTTGGAATGGATTTGAATGGTACATCTCCATGTCTGCCATAGTCCACTGCTTGCTCCACGTGGATCTCCTTCTCCAAACTTGTTGAAGGGAGTAGCACCTCCACACATATGTTGGGCTTCTCTTCCTGAGGAAAAACTTAGAAAACAGAGCTTAGTGGGATTAACCATAGCCTTCATCGCTGCAGTTCATCTCAGGGCCATCACTGGTGTTTACCTTCCTTCCCCTCATTAAACATTTTAAATTTCTCTCACTCTCAGCTGACATCTCTAGTAATCCTAGTAACTTACTTCATGGTGTGACCCTGTGTCCTTAGTAACCACACGCTTCTTTAATTGCTGTATTTGTCCATTCACACTCACAACCGGGCAAGGGAATACCAAGAGGTACCTACCTGAGTCATGTGAATTCCACACATTTTCCTCCCTGTCCCTGTTAAGTAACAGTAGTTATTAAGTGTAACTGACAAGAAATAATCTTCTCCTGTGAATTATCAGTGTGAAGTATCCCTTAAAAATGGTGATTATACTTCATGTCTGTTGGACTTTAGACAAAAGAATCCCAAACTGCTTAGGCAGTAGTTATAGCTTGTAGTTCAATGGGACTTTTGCTGTAAGACTTTTGATACTGGTAAGAGTTCAGAACTTCTATCTTGCAGACCCCAGAGTTGTGTGAAGAGAAGCACAAAGTCTGAGAGTGGGTCATTGAGATTGATGGTAAGTGGGGTCATTGGGGTTCCTTCTGCTTCCACCCTCTAATTTCACAAACCAATTTTTTTTTTTTTGAATTGGTGATAAAACACCACATAAATGTCTCTGCGTCAATGCATACAGTGCATCCTGAAAGATAGTTTCCATCCTTGCAGGCTATTGTCTCCAAGTTGGTGATTCAGCTGTATCTTCAACAAGACATTCCATCCCCTCCACAGGAAGTTTTTGGGTGGGGTGGTGTGTGATAAGACTACACGGTCCATTCTTGTGCCTTCTTCACTGCAAACTGAATGCCTTGGTTGAATGTTGTATGGGATTCCAACCTTGTGGATCAGACATGCCATAAGCTCTGGATAGTGATGCTGGCGGATACCCTTGAGGGCAGGAAGGCATATCCAGAATAGATGACTATTCCTGTGAAAATGAACCACAAACTCTTCAAGGATGAAAGAGGCCCAACCTAGTCAACCTTCACCAAATTACCAGTTGCTCTCCTTAAGAAATAGTTCATACTAAAGGTTCAGAGATGGGAATGTCAGACCACCTTACCTGTCTCCTGAGAAACCAGTATGTAGGTCAGGAAGCAATAGTCAGAACCTGACTAGACCATTCAGGTATGA